ATACCCATGCACAAACACACACACACACATATATATATACTCATATATATATATATATACACATATACATACACATATATATACATATACATACATAAACACACACATTCATACATATACACATACATCCATCCACATCCACTCCTACATATACATACATTTACACACATATATACATACGGACATACACATACGTGCACATAAACATATATACATAAAACCTTACATCTCCATACAATTACATACACCCATCTAAACAAATAAACAATGTATCTCTTTATCTATCCGTCTAACTATACATACATGCATACACATACACCCATATACAGATATATATGAATACATACATACCAAAACATACACAAACACATATATAAACACATCTACATACACATCTACCTACATATACATACATCCATATACGCATACATATATATACATACATACACATACATATACATATATATATATACATACATACATACATACATACATATACATACATATACATATATACACTCCTACATATATACACATATACACACACATGTACGTACATATACATATCTATATATAAATCAAAATGTAAAATTTAAAAAAGTAAAATTTAAAAAATTTTGTCTCAAAAAAGAAATTAAATACATAGCGCATCACATAAACATACACAATGATATATATAGATAAACATAATAGATAAACATAATAGTCATTCCACTAAAATGTCATGCCCGATGTTATTGAACCAAGATGGAACTGACAAAAGTGACAACACGTTATAAAACGGTATTTATGTTTTGAATCGTTTCTTATGTCTACATTTAGAAAATACCTCACTACGAAGATTTAGCAACTCATCTTGATTCTTATCTTTAATAATAAAAATTGTTTCCGACATGCACAGATCACACCGATCGAGGAAGTCATTAGGGGTTCTAGCTCTTGATAAGTATCTCCATTCGAAAAGTGGGGTTATCCACCAGATCCCAGTAGTGTTTGGATAAGGAAGTTTGATTTCTGAGGTATCTATATCTAAAAGAGCGTCTATGGTTGTATAGACGCTGCTTCCATATCGGCGGATATACATATTTTTTTTTCTGGTTTATATTTTCCTCGGGGAAGATTGTTGCCTCGTATACTACATTTTCATACATACATTTACCCCCGATTGGACAATGGTCTTTATTCCTACAATTGCGGGTAGGGTTACTAGATTGAGTTTCATTACTATGATAGTTTCTAAGTATTCTACAATTATGGGAAGATATTATTTTCTCCATATTTCTAACACATCAGTAACTAATTTTCAGTGTCTTCCTATTGAAAGTTTTACGTAGTGGATCTTTACTATGAAAGTGTTTATCAATTAATCTCAGAAAGAAACTTCCTACATCAATGTTAGAGAGCCTGCAATATGGTGGGTTAAACCATATTACCTTCCTCCTTTCTGTTTTTAGCTCTATTATTATTCTGATTTACAAGTTCTCTGTTAAAGATTAATTCTTGTCTAAAACCACTATTTGTGAGAGCCTGATTGTATATAAATTTATTATCGCTAAAGATTTTTTGGCTAGAAGGCTATTTATTCTCATATTCACAGTTTTGGAGATGTGATCTATCACAGATTTAGGGTGGTTAGAGTGGACGTTGATGTATAGGGGTGTTTGATCAACTTTATGGAAGGGTTTAAAGGTATCATTCGATAGGTTGAGTGTAATATCCAAAAAGTTGACTATTTTCAGGTTGGAAGATATTTCAATTTAAGGCTTAGGTATTTGAAGGCCCTACTTATCTTCTTATGTAAGCTGGAAGTCAAGGGACCATTGCTATTAGGGACAATGATTAGGCCGTCATCTCTATAAATTCCGACTTGGTTAAGGCTAACTACTCTACTCAAGGTGTCTAGAATATATATGCCCACTAAATCTGCAATTTGGGCAGAATCGAAAGCTCCCATAGGTACATCGAAACTTTCATTATTCTTCTTCACCCAAGTAGCGTCATTGTATGTAATCATTGATCTTCTTGACGCTAAAATAATGTCCAGATCATTATCCGTTATTTCGGTATATCCTTTAGCGAAATTAAGGCTGTTAATTAATAGTTCCTCCGAAATAGAAGGGTAAAAATCCAAGAAGTCAAATTGGATGAAAGTGGCTCTTCTTTTGTTAGGGATCTTTCGGAACCATTTAATCATCTCAGCCGAGTCTTTCCAAAGGTTGACTGGGTATTTATCCAGGACACATGATGTTATTTTCTTGATAATACTCTTGGAAATTAATCCCAACTCAGATTTGGATTAATTAGACGGGGCTGCAAGCTATTGATAAAGTTCGGCTTATGATGTTTGAAATGTATGCATCCAATGGAATAAATTATGACCATGGAATATTAGTGTTTAAGCCTTTTTATTATATCCTTACTCTGTCCTGGACATTGAGTTCTACCTGGATTCTATCCTCTTGGAATTATTTTTTATACAAATATGTATGTATATGTATGTATGTATGTATATATATTTAGATATTTTAGATATATGATTGCATATGTATGTGTATATTTGCCACTAATATTATATATATATATATATATATATATATATATATATATATAGTAAATTTTTAGATATAACATTCAACCTAAACCACGGAACCTGTAAACCATAGCAAACCAGACAACAACCGAATATACATTAACAAAATTCCAACCATCACTTAACTCAAACAAATACCCATATCTATAAATAAAAGAATTTCAACAAATTCTAGTAGCCTAAAAATATTCAATGAAAACAAAAAAATATTTGAATCAGCCCTAAAAAACAGCGTATATTTACACAAACTAGAATACAGAAACGAAAACAATTCAAATAAAAACAACATAAAAAGAAACATAATTTGTTTCAACACCCCTACAATAAAATACAATACAATAAAAACAAAAATAGGGAAAATATTCCCCAAAACAATTGACAAACACTTCCCTAAATGCTGCAAATTATCAACAAAAATGCAACCAAAATTAGTTACAGTTATATAAATAACATGGAGAAAATAATACTGAGAACAATAAAAAATACTCAACAAAACCAATAACAATTACAACATTAACAATAACATCCAGCAAAATTACACCCTTAAATATAACTGCAGAAAAAAGAAAATTGCCCATTTAACAATAAATTTTTAAGCAATAACATAATATACAAAGCTATCGTAACTAATAGCATTAACACAGAGGAAAAATTTACATAAGGGCCGAAAAAAAAAACTTTTAAAGAAATATATTATGACCACAAAATGTCATTCGAAAGAAAAAATACACAAACAATACAACTCTCTCAAAATACATAGGGGGCCAAAAAGAAAAGTATTCCCACCAAAATCAAATGGGAAATCATAAAAAGAGCAGCCCTATACACTATTAACAGTAAAAATTGTAAATTATGCTTGAGGAAAAATTAGCAATAATTAGTTTTAAAAACCAAAATAAACTCTTAAACAAGAAAACTAAAATAATGGGTAAATGTAGACATATAAATAAATACTCACTTTGCCATCTAAACACTAACTAAAAGTAAACAAATAAATATTTTAAATTAATATAAACTTTAAATAAATAAATGAAATAAATATAATATAAACTTAATAAAAAATTAATTATTAATATATAAATAAACGAACAAATATTAAACATACACACCTATACGCGTGTGTTTGGATATATATATATATATATATATATATATATATATATATATATATATATACAGACACAAACAAACAGCTACAAACAAACAAACCTAACTCCCATAATTAATACCTCAATATTTAACACCAAGGAAAAAAAATACACTACTAACCTTGAAAAAATTGAATATTAGATAAATGATAACATATGCAAATACTTATTTTAATAGATATACATTATTTAACAATTGCATATATGTGCGTGCAGAGTGCATGCGGATGTGTGCCTGAGTGTCTGGGAGTATATCTATATCTATAAAACAGATTATGTCCGTGTGTGTGTGTGTGTCACTGTGTGTGTGTATGTGTATGATTTATGCCCGTTTTTTCGACCATAACTCCCTGGTTTTTCATCCAGCACTTTCCAAATTTGCCATATAAAATACATATGACACACAAATTGTCTTGCGTCAATTTTTGGTTTGTTTATGATTATTGTTACGACAAACTAAGTCCAAAATCGGCTTTCGCCATTTAGCCAATAGTTTCATTATATGATTCCATCTTAAATTGGCATTTGAACAACCTTTGATGCAAAGATTTTTGGAGAAGGATTATTGAAATGTTAAAAGAGAAAATTTCTCGAAGAACCTCTTATTAACACCTTCTTTACAGTAAACGTACGAAAGAGGGGGTATTCATACTTTTGCACTTTCAAACTTCTAACGCTTCATCCCTGTTTTTGTTTGATCATTAGATTTGTGAACAATGCCATACTATTTGAAAGTTATTACAGCCTTAGAAAATTTACTGAATATCTAAAACATTGAAACAATTTAACCCCGAGCAACGATCACACAAGGTTTTATCGATGGAATTCCTTTATTTAAAAAAATCAAACATTCGAAGGACATACCGTAAAAAAGATGTGGTGGGGAGTAGCTTAGTATAACCATGGATGTTATATCAATCGCCTAACAAACTTTTACTTATATTAATTCTACTAACAAACTTATATTAATTCTACATATATATATGTATATATATATATATATGTGTGTGTGTGTGTGTGTGTGTGTGTGTGTGTGTGTGTGTGTGTATTTAACCTTTCTTTCAAATATCTTTTGTTAAATACAACACGAATGAAGATTTAATTAATTTTTTATTAACTTTTTACAGCATCTTTACGTTTTACCGCTTGGTAGCAGTAAGGGAGTACAAAATTTTTTTCATAGTTTTTACTGTCCCAAGTGCTATATATATATATATATATATATATATATATATAGTTACATGACAGTGAAGAAAATATATTTATATTTCTGCATAATCTACTTCTAAACACACAGACACACACACATGCACACATAGATAGATAGATAGATAGATAGATAGATAGATAGATAGATAGATAGATAGATAGATAGATAGATAGATTACTAAAGAATTAACGTATTTATTTTAAGACGACATTTTTATTTATAGTGGACACTTTTTGAAATAGACGCCAAGTTTTTATTAATTATTTATTAAACAGTGTGCATTACGTCTATTTCTTATAGACTATCCATACAATAGTCCTTAAGAAATGTGCTTCTGAACTTGTTCCTGTTTTATCTAAACTCTACAATAAAAATACCTTGCTACTTCTTGCTTTTCTGCTTGATGGAAATCCTCTTCTGTAGTTCCAGGATTTAAGAACTTCTACTACTTCTTTTTCGAAAAGTATTAGAGGCCCCAATAAATTCTGAATTGGTTAAAGATCTCACCTCGCAGGGTCTTCCTATAAAAGTAATATGGCTTTCGCTTCTCTAGGTAAAACGCTGATGTGTTTAATGTTTATTACTGAAAGCGTCTATCAATGGTGAAACTGTTACTTTGGATATCTCGAACGTATTTGACCAGATTTCTCATGCTGATCATCTTCACAAGTTGAAAGGTTATGGTATTTCTGGACGAATATGTTTTTTTTTATCTGATTTAATATTTCTTATGAAATTGTGAAATGAAAACTATCTTGGATGGCCACTGTTTTAGATCTTTTTGTCGTAATGCACGTGTTATCCAGGGTTCTATCCTTAGATCTACGTTATTTCTAATTATCCGGGTGTTCTCAGTTCTCAACTCAGTATCTATGATACAACTATTTACTCCTGTCTTAAGTCTGATTGTTTTGATAAGGTCAAATTCGCAGCTGATATCAAGAATCTGTTGTTAACTGGGGCAAGAAATGACTTTTTAAATTAACGCTTCCAAAACGAATCTGCAATCTTTTAATCGCATGAGACCTTTTTTTTGCCTTCCATCAGCATGGTTGATGCCAACCTCCAGTAGAGTGACTCATTGCACCTTTTCAGGCTAACGTTTTCCGCTGATATGAAGAGGAAAGATTATATTCAGTCAGTTTCAGGGAAAGTTGGTTTCATCTTTGCTAACTAGAACACTATTTAAGCACAGCACTAGATTGGCAACAAGGTCTCATAATTTTACATTTGAAATGTCTAGGTGTAACTGTAGGTTCTATGCTAACAGTTTCTTCTCTCGCACTTCTCGCTTTTGAAATTTTCTTCCAGCTTATTAACTTTGATCTTCAAAAGTTTAAATGCAGTGACAGTTGTTATCTTCTGTTTTTTTAATTCCTGTTTTTTATTGTTCCTTATCCTTAATAGTGTTTGCTTTTTCTTTCACACTCAGTAACCTCTTGCGTCTTAGTGGCTCTACTGCCTTGTTTGGTGGGAGAGTGAAATCATTAATAAAAAAAATTACTTAAAGAATGACCTTTCCTTTATCTTACAATGGATGCACGGGTTTGATTTTAGCCCAAATACCCTTGTCAAATATATAATAACCACATTGTATAAATTCCTCAAAAAGATTTCCCGCGCATTTCCGGGAATATATCGGAAATGACTGTGGATATGAAAACGAGATTCGCAGTTCGTGAGGAAATGATGCCTTACACTTTTTCTCTTTTCTCACGTAAAACCTTAATCATCGTAATGATAAAAACTATACTGACAACATCGCAAAGAGAGCAATTATATATATATTCTTTTGAAACAATTTGAAAGAATATATTATAAAGATTTCGTCTTTACTTTTCTTCTCTGATACTGATTTAAACAAGCAAACTAGCCTTTTCAATAATGATAGATGATTAATGAATTTGATCGTTTTCTTGAGATTTAGTAACAAACTACTTGATATTATAGCCATCGTTAACTATTGACTTGCAGCCTGACAAGCGATAGAATTACAATAACATTTTCGGATGCTTTGAAGTTGCTTCATATGAAAAACATATCAAACTTAAAATACATTGAAACACATTTTTTTAATTTACAGCTTTTCCTTTTATGCAGCAATATTCTCATATTTTCTAAACGTTTCCAACGCTTGACTAGTTTAAAGCAGACGTTTGTCCTTTAGCTGACAAAATTGGTCTGCAACTCGTACAAGATTTACTCCTCAATACAATTATGTCATAAGGTACAGTACTGAAGCAATCTTTCTATGCACGGTGCTTTCTTCCTGATGATTTACAGAAACAACGAAAATGCCATAAATATTGTGCAGAACAAACTTTCAGAAGATATTACATTAATGTTTGAATTGTAATGAAGCATGACACAGAGAAAAAAAGAATGGATAAACACAATACTAGTCATTTTTAAGGAGATCGGCCTTCAGGGCTCTCTATAACGTCCTGTCTTTTGTTTATCTAAGTAACTTTTTACTCTTTACCACCATTTGTCTTTGTTCTACCATCCATTCATAAAACTTCGGTTTTAAAATACACATCAAATCCCATGTATTATTTTCCATTATATGAGATAAGCATTCAAGAGCAAATAGTCTTTATTTAATGCGATAGGAATTAAAAATATGCCTATTGTAACGCGATAGATGTGGCAGTGTGCGTCGAAACCAGCATGTAAATACCAATAGTGTATATTCATCGTCTTCATGAAAACGAAGAGAAAATCACTGCTTAAAGGAATAAACATTCAACAGAGAACGCAAAGGTTGGTTTAGATGGTGGACAAATCGTTCGAATTTTATTACACCATTATCATTTCAGATGAGTTTTCACTTGTTCAGTTTTTAAGCAGCTGATAACTATGTGGGGGATTTTCAACCAATTACAGCATTGGTCATTTTTAACCTTTTAGAGTTTATGGGAGAAAATTCAAAGATATTCTGTACAAGGAAATTTTCTAGCAGACTATTAGCGTGATTCTTCTAATTGGACCGATACTTGGTGTTCACATTCGGTTTAGTTAAAGTCCTACAATTTTCCTATGTGAGTAACAATATATGCCATATGAGCAATTCGGCACTTTCCCCTCATTTTGTAGAATTTTATCCCCGGGTCAATAAGTACACTACTCTGTAGACCACCTTCCTTGATGATGTAAGTGCAGCTTCTGGTATTCAGTATTTTTCCGGTCTTCAAAATGTCCCCAGGGTTTGGCTATATTTTTCATCCATTCCTTGTTAATGAACAGGTAAAAATAAGAACGCCAACACAGTTTCTGTAAGATACTATTTTCCTAACTTTTGCCCGTACCCAGAGGTAAAAGTTCCAAATTTTTCACTTTTATTCATAAGTCTTATACAGAACGAGAATGAACTGCGTAATAAAAGATCGTTACAATAAATAAGAAAATAGTGTAGCTGATAAGTTTGATGTTTAAAAAGATTATCAGAATAGAATTAAAGTTCTGTTCGATTTTACAGATGAAAAGATTATTTATAGAAATGTTTAATCATCAATATAATTTCATTCCATCTGTCAACAAGTTTATAGATGCCATATTTGTAAAGGATTTTAGCTTTTGATGTAAAATACGAGACCAACTCATGTTCAACCACTTCTCTTGATCTCTATTGCCAGTCAAATGGTCCTGCTGACCTCATAATGATAGTGATAATCAGAAGGAGCAAGGTCGGGAGAATATGGAGGATGAAGCAAATTTCCCAGCAGATCTCCCTATAAAATCGTTAATCATGTAGTATGAAAACTAAGGATGAAGGTTTTCTGTCCATTGTTAGTAGAGATCAGTGTTGATTGTTTGATTATTGTCTAACAGTTCATGACTGAGGACTCCTTGGATATCTCACCATACACTCAACATAATCTTCTTTGGTTGAAGTTCTCTGCTCGATTGCTGAGTAGATCTGTTTCTTCAACTGATCCACTGATGACAACACTTAACACTATAGTAAAGGATCCATTTTTCATAACCAGTAGCAAAAATCTTGTCGTCAAAATATTCCCGTAACTTCATTAAAAGAAAATTTATTAAGTTTTTCTTTTTTCTTTGTTGTACTTGCGCTAAAAGGAAATTTTCGAGAGAACGTAGTTCAAGAAAAACAGAATTCTATATTCTTATTTACAAGGCTCGTTCCCAAATAAATGCCTCTTATTTTATTATGTTGACCTACGACGTTAGAGGCGTTTTGTTTAAGGAGTTGGTAGTATGGCGGTTAACAAGGGATAATAATTACAGATAGCAATCTGGCAAAATAGTGCCTGGCATCAAAGTGTGTACCAAGCTTAAATATGTGAATGAATTCCTGCATTCTGAAAAACTGCAAGCATTGGCATTAATCGACGCATGATGAACGTTTACAGAAGCCAAATAGTGGATGTGAGCAGTTAGTCGTGAGAATAGATTCGCCACATTAAAACATTTCCTACCGAATCACAACTTGGAAGTTTGGGGCAATAGGGTCGTATATCTACAGCTTCTCCCTATCTAATTTATGCTAAGCCTGACAAATATCAAGAATCTAATATACATTGTGTACTTCAACAAAATTATTCCAAAAATTGACAAAAACATGAAAATTTTATATTTGGTAATAAAATGCGTATTCACAGGTCGCGGGAATTAGACTTTAAAATTCTTCTTTTTTATGATGAAAATTACAGAAGAAAGAAAAGATTGTAAGAGACGAAGTCTTAAGATCGGGTCTTGCCCTAACTTCTCTGTCGCATGTGCAAATAGTTGTTAACAAGTCATGGCTGCTTTAATGAGCCAATCCTTAACCAAGAAGTATTCGTTTACATTGAACTACATTTTAACCTGCGCCCACCTAAAAAGAACCACACCTACACTGAAATGAAATCAGAATGTCGATTCTTCATATTTCTAAAGTCCCCCACTCTCTAATAGAGCGGCTAATATGCACAATATATGTTAATACTAGCAGTAGAGCCCGGCGTTGCCCGGGGATGTAACAGTAAGAGATAGATCAAGTATCGACTATCATAAAGACTGAAAAATAAAATTGACAAAGATTATTGTTTAAGGTTGACGGACACGCATGTCTTAATTAGTTTTTTTTTTTTTTTACGAATTGGTCAAACCCAAACTCAAACAAAAACATTGTTTACAATCGTTATGAGTCTATCGATTGGTGAATAGAATTT